TCCCAGGAGTCTCCCCTCCAGGTACTCACCCCTGCTGAGCTTCAGTGCAGGGCTGCCAGTGGGGAGCTGCAGGGTGAGTAATCCAAGGTCTCTGCTAATCTGATGTGCGTTTTAAGCTTTGTCTGAAGGAGTATTCGCTCTAGAGTTGTTTTATTTCAGCCCTTAGCTACACCTACCTGTTTTTCGGCGACCTTGAATTGGAAACCCACTTCTTTCATTTAATTTCACATTTCTACACGTTTTCTTTGTATGATTATATTTTGTCCGTTGACCGTTCTCCCGTTTTTTTTCCCATGTAGGTATCATGTTGTAAAGCGCCTCGAGCAAACTCTGGATTGAAAGGCGCTATATAGGAATCAAATCTGATTGGGCGATCGGTGGGGTGATCTAAAAGCGGGTTGAGGCCGTGAACGTCTGCCGCTTCTGGGGCGAGACGCGGAGTTCCCCGTCCAGCTGACCCGACCCCCCCACCCCCCCCAACTCGGCCCCCGGCCCCAGCCCCGTCCAGACCCACCTCCCTGGCCTGGCTCCAGACCTCCTGCTCCAGGGCGTTGACCTCCAGGGGGGGCAGCGTGAACTTGAAGTAGGGCCGCAGGTTCTTGTAGATGTAGATGAAGGGGCCCGAGGCCACGGCCACGGCGGGCGTGCGCGGCTCGTGCTGGTCCATCAGGAAGGCCACCAGGCCGGTGGGCAGGTCCAGCAGGGTGTTCTCGCTCACCAGGCTGGTGCCCCTGTACACCTTCAGCTTCATGTTGTAGACGCCGGTGCCCAGGTCTCCCACCACCAGCTGGCACGGGACACGGGGTTCGATCACGAGGACGCCCGTGCCCGGGCCTCGTCGCTAGGTCGCAGCCTACCCTGGCTCAGAGGTTTTAAGCGGAAGAGCGCGGACGTCCCACTGAAAGGTTACACCCCCCGTTGCCCATTGATGCGGGGCTTGACTGGGGCGGAGCCACTGGGGTGAAACAGCTCGTGGTGTCAGCGGTGGGATCAGATGGCCCGAGCCCTCCACACTGCCCCCTAGAGCTGTAAACATTGCACTCCAATCGAAATGCGGCATTCTAGATTCATTGCAACGTCGGTATCGACCTTGCATTTTGCCTAGTGGACAGATTAGGATCGGTAGCCCAGCACGTTCCCTCCAAGGCTTCAATCTCCAAGCAGGAAGGAACTGCTCGCTTGAATTGGGGGTAGCCGTTCCCCCCAATG